CGTTCCCTGCACCCTTTGCATCCTTGCTGCAATTCCTCGCTCTCCAGTAGCTGCCTGAGCCCAGTGAATAATTTTTTCCAGATACCAAGTTAAGCCTTCTTTGATGTCTGTGCCAAAACGTGTCCCTGGATGGTGGGAGTGGGAAGCAGGGTCAGCAGTGGTTAGGATCATCTTCCAGATGGCAAAGCACTTGTTCCCTGCACACCCAGAGCTGCTTGCATCCTTGCTGCAATTCCTCGCTCTCCAGTAGCTGCCTGAGCCCAGTGAATAATTTTTTCCAGATACCAAGTTAAGCCTTCTTTGATGTCTGTGCCAAAACGTGTCCCTGGATGGTGGGAGTGGGAAGCAGGGTCAGCAGTGGTTAGGATCATCTTCCAGATGGCAAAGCACTTGTTCCCTGCACACCCAGAGCTGCTTTGTCCACCTCCTTCACTCACCATATGAATCTGTTTTCATTAATCATGTGGTGTCAGGGCACTTATTTGTACAGGCTCCTTTTTCCCCCATCCTTGCTGGATCTGGACAGCATCCTGGTCCTGCCTCCGGAGCCACTTGGCCGTGTTGGATGGAGCCCAAGCGGCCAAGTGCTGCATCGAAACGGTCCGGCCCGACCTTTGTTTATTAGAGGAAAAGCAGGAGGGGAGTGTTGCTATTTTTTCCTCTTCATGGCTGGTGGCCCTGAGGAGCTGCTTGTCATGTTAAAGAGCTGCCGGAGGGTGGGGAGGAAGGAGTTGCTCTCCCTCTCCTCTTCCTGCAGCTCTCTAGGCTATAGAAAAGCAGATAATAAGGGATTGTGCCCTTTGGATACAGCAGTTGCTGTTTTCCTTCCCTCTTGCTGGTGCAATCTCCACCGAGACACGAATATTCCCAAATCCGGTTTGCAAACGGCTGTTCCTCGTGTTTCTCCCTGTGCCTGACCATAGCACAGCCACATCCCAGCTGCTGTCTCCAAGGGAGATGCAGTTGTGTTTTCCCCTTGACCACCATCAGCGCTGCAAGTGGGCAGCTGCTCGGATCCCAGAGCCTTCTCCCGTTTTCCCAAGCCCTGTTTATGCTTGTGCTGCACGTGGTGTCCGAGTGCCTGAGCGTGACCTGTCTGCTGCTTCTATCACTAAAATGCCAGGCACAAATGGCTCCTGCTTAACCCCTCCTGGGTTTTTCTGAGCTGCTCGAGCATCGGGGTGAGTAACCCTGGTGGATAAAGAAGTTGTCCGGGGAATAGCTGGTAAATCTTGCTTGGTGTCTCCACGCCTAGAGCAGATTTAGGGTGCAAAGTCTTCCCCTTCTACATTTTGAGGTGCTTGGGTAGGGCAGATGACACCATCTGAGACTGTACAGTGGGAATTTGGGTTTTGCAGGCATGTGGAAAGCACCTGGCTCCTGTTCCATGGGACACAGGGTTGTACATGGAGTCATCACAGGGATGTAGCTATGGTAGCCAAAACCAGAAAACAGTAGCCCTGTGCCCTCTTTGTCTTGCCCTGGCTTTTCCCAGCATCCCAGCTTGCATTTGTTCAGCTGCTTCATCCATGGCCTTGGAATTCTACAGGATATTTTTATGAATTAAAGTCATATTGTGGTGATTTTTCCCTGTGTACACAAGGAAGCGATGGAGGAGCCGAAGGTGACTTTGAGTGCTGGGCCAGTTTTTGCTGACGTGGTGTTGGCTGCTAAACATGTGGATGTCTTCCCCCACATTTATTCCCTGTAATCTCTTCAATCAAGGGCTGCAAAACATCCCTGAGCTTGTGATCAAAGCCCTTCCCTGATTCTCTCCCTGCAGGTGACCTGTGCATCTCCGAAAATGAGCGGAGGGTGGTTTCCAAGGAAGCATGGGAGAAACTCAAGCAATATTTTCCCAAAGCCCCCGAATTCCCAAATAACAAAGAGTGCTGTTCCCAGTGCAAGGTATTTGCCAAATATTCTCCTTCTGTTGACTGTAAATACTGGTTGTATTTCTGGTTTTTCTCTTTAACACCACCCTGTGCCACAGAGGAGAATAGTGTCGCCTTTTAATGGCATCTGGGAATGAGAGTTGGGATGTAATTAACTGTTTCCTGCAGATTTTAGAGCGTGAAGGGGAGGAAAATGAAGCTCTGCATAAGATGATGGCCAGCGAGCAGAAGACTTCTCTCCAGAACCTGTTCCACGATAAATGCAGACCTTGCCTGGGCAGCTGGCCTCAGGTAGGGAAGGGAGGGAGCAGGGAATGGTTTTTCTTGAATTCTCCTACGTTTTTTGACTATTATACCTTTCATGTCTTCCATTCCCCAAATCTGATGAATAAAATACAGATAAATACTGAATTAAGTATTTCTCTCGAGGTGGCTGATATAAAAGTTACCAAAGATATGGGGAGGGAGGGAGCAGGGAATGCAGCTGAGCCCAGGAGAGGGTTTTAGTGGCTTTTATCCTTCTCCTGCCTAGAGCAGCTGTGGGTGCTCCATCCCTGGAAGTGTTCAAGGCCAGGTTGGATGGGACTGAGAGCTACCTGGGCTAGTGAAAGGTGTCCCTGCCCATGGTAGGGGTTAGAATGAGATCCTTGAGGTCCCTTCCCACCCAAACCATTCCGTACCCATCCACTCGGTCCGAGCGAGGCTGTGCCCATGGCACTGCAGCTCACAAATGTGCTGTGCCGAGCTGTGATTTCCCTGGATTAGCTGTGCTGGCACAAAGCCCTGAAGAGCCACAGGAATGGCTCATGTGCCAGTGGTGCGGTGTCTGGCCTGGAGTCAGCGAGATAACAGCAACAATATTGCTGCTGTGGTTGGAGCTGTCCCCAGGATGGAAACACTGTGGCCGTGACTTCCCACCGCTCTCCCTCTGCCTTCCTCTGCAGGAGGATGCTAGAGCAAAGCTTGGGATGCTGGTGGGGCAAAATTCAGGTGTGCTGCAGCATTCTCCTGCATCCCAGCAGCTCAGGGGGAGCATCCCAAAAAGCTGAAGCCCTCCAAAGGGCAGTGATGGCCATGCAAGCTCTGTCCTAGTGGCTTCTCCAGGGCTTTGGGGGACTTTGAGGAGGCCCAAAAGGAATGGCATAAGCTGTTGGCTCCAGTCCTTGATTCCTGGGGGTCTCGTGGTGCTGGTTACTGATTGACTCATCAGTCCTGCCAGGGTGCTTTGGCAGGTGTCTCCCTGGGTCCCTCGCTGCTGAGGCAGTGTGGATCCGTGGCTCGGAGCCAGGGAGACCCAAAAGGCTTTAAAAGGAGTTTCCCTTTTGTGCTGAGCTGGAGAGCTGTCGGGTCCTGGCAGTGGTGTTTAAGTGTTGTATCTGGTTGGATTTGCTTTTGGAGTTGGAGTAGGTAATGGAAAGCTGGAGCCCATTGCTGTGGGTCAGGAATAGGAGGGTCTCTCTACCAGTGAGGTCACATCCTCCTTTCCCTTTGAATTTCCCAAGGGAGCCTGATTAAAAAAAGAGTGTGAAGGTCTTCCCCTCAAGCTTTTGGAATTTTTCTGATCCAAAGCAGTTGTGGTTTGGGGTGGAAAACAAGTGGAGTGGTTAGATCCAGAGGAGAATCCTCATCTAGTTGAAGATGTCCCTGCTTATTGCGCATGACCTTTGAAGGGTCTCTTCCTACCCAAAGCACTCTATGATTCTGTGAGATGAAGAGAGCTCCAAAATATATGTATAATTCCTCAGGTGTGCTGAGTTTTCCTGCAGAAAGTTGGAGTGAGCCTTTAAATCCTTAGAGAGCCTTAGGGAAAGTTGTGAGGATATAGGTGAGCATGGAAGTGATTTTGTCACCCAGCTCTTGAGGTCTAGGTGTCCAGGAGCCAAGAATTTAATGGAAAATTGGGACAAGAAAACAGAATTTATCCCCAAAACACTACCTGGTGAGGATACAAAGTGTCCCTGTTGCTGCCAAAAGGAAAAACTTGTGGGTTTTGATGTTGGAAGCAAATGAGGGAGGTTGGGGTGGTCTCACCCCACCCCCATGGGAGTGCAGGGTTTCACCTGCCTCAGCCCCTGAGTGCCTTGGGAGAGAAGACCTGGCACTGGGGAGCCTTGGCTGCTCCAGGGAAATGCCCCTTTCCTGCTGGGAATTAAAGGTAATTGGATCGAAAGCTCAACTAACTTTGTAATAAACACGAGATTAGTCATGTCAGTGCTTAGTACTTGATCCCAAATTATTTTCCTTGGCTTTCCCAGCATGCTTGGATAGAGTTGTCATGGTAAAACAATGCTGAGATCTCTGAGGGAGCACAAAACCAAACAGTCATCCTTCCCTATTGTTGGATCCATTAAAAAGATCCTTCTTCCCTCTCTTTTCCCCCAGGAGACGGATGAGCTGTATATTGTTTCGCAGTTCTTTGTAGAAGAATGGAGAAAGTTTGTCAGGTAACTTGGCTGGAGGGTTTTGGTGTTCTTTATCCCTTGTTTTGGGGGCTGTAGGTGATACTTTGGTCCCGACTCCCGAGTGCTCCAGTGGTTCATGGAAACAAGGAAGCTGATTTTTGCACTCTGTTACATGCTGTAAGACACTGAGTTTCCTTGTTTACCATGTCTTAACCAGATGGTCGGATTAGCTGGTAACCTGATTAGTTTTTTCATCTGTCTGGAGCTGTATCCCAGACAAAGGTCGCTGCTCAATCCTGTTTCCACGGGCTGGAGATGGAAATCTCTGCTGGATTGAGTCATTTTGCAACACGGAGGAGCACAGATCTGATTTCCTCATCTCTAATAGTTAATATTCCCTGTTGGAATGCCTTCTGTAAATATTCACCTGCGATTGCTTCTTGGCCGCCTGAAGAACTGTGGAGTTTTTGGTGAAATATCCTGATCCAGCTTTCCAAACCTCTTTCCTTCTGCAGGAGGCCAACACGATGCAGCCCGGTGTCCTCCATAGCAAACAGTGTCCTGCTGTGTCCCCACGGGGGACTCATGTTCACCTTCACTTCCATGACCAAAGAAGACTCCAAACAGTGAGTTTATTCCCTTTGCATGTTTTCTCTTTGCTAGGAGCCTCAGGAGAACATTTCCCAAAGGAATATTCTTGCTGCTGAGCTTCAAATCCTTTCCCTCAATCCAAATGAACGCCTAGGCTTTCCCAGAGCCATCTCAGCCTTCCTGCAAGGCAAGACCTAGATTGTCCAAGGATGCTGGGTCAGGAAAAAAGAGCTTCCTTCAGCTTGGTTAGTTCCTGACAATAACCACCCTGGGTCTGACCAGAAACATCCTGCTTCCTTACCATTTGCTTTCCGTGAGCCTTCCCCCCCCGGAGCGCTGGCTGCAGGGCTGGACTTCATGCTCCATAGCATTGCCACTGCAGTGATGCAGCACTAAAAGTAGGAAATCTTCCACTCCTTTCCTCCTCCATCCCTCCCTCCAGCGTGACGGGAGCAGAGCAGCGTCACTAATCACAGGCTGCTGTTATCTGGGTGCACAGACCCTCACGGGAGCTGATCTGGGGATGGACTGGGAAGTGTTTCTCTGGTTAACAGACTAGAAAGCAAAGGAGCGAGGTTGTTTGGGAGCTCAGAGCTTGACTTTCCCATGTCATAAAGCACCTGCCTGTTCCTTTGCACAGTATAGCTCTGATATGGCCCAGTGAGTGGGAGAGGATCCAAAAGCTCTTCGTGGTGGATCATGTCATCAAGATCACACGGACACAGGCTACCGGGAGTGACCCCGAGGGTGTGCGCTACACCTCCGAGCCCCGTGAGTGACTCCTGCTCTCCTCCTGGGCCAGTCCCTGGGAATGGCTCTTTTGGGGACCAAAAATTAAACATGGAGCTTGGCAGATGCCTCACCTGCAGTGCTGTGTCCAGCTCTGGGGTCCCAGCATGGGAAGGACGTGGAGCAAGTTTGGAGGGGACACCAAGATGCTCTGAGAGCTGGAGCATCTCTGCCATGGAGCCAGGCTGGGAGAGCTGGGGCTGTTCAGACTGGAGAAGAGAAGGTTCTGGAGAAACCTTAGAGCCCCAGAGCCCCTTGCCTAAAGGGGCTCCAAGGGAGCTGGAGAGGGCCTTGGGACCTGGGGGGATGGCTTCTCAATGACAGGGGAAATTTAGGTTGGGTATTGGGAAGGAACTGTGCCCTGTGAGGTGCTGAGGCACTGGCACAGGTTGCCCAGAGCAGCTGTGGCTGCTCCATCCCTGGGAGTGTTCCAGGCCAGGCTGGATGTGGCTCAGCGACCTGGGCTAGGGGAAGGTGTCCCCGCCCGTGGCAGGGGGTGGAATGAGATCCTTAAGGTCCCTCCAACTCAGACCATTCTGGGATTCTGCGATTTGCTGTGTTGGGTTGGCAGTGGGAGGCACTGGGCTGGGCTGTCCAATGAGCTGGAGCAATAAATGTGTTTTTCTTCTTGGTGTCCCCAGAGCTGTGCCCAGAGTGCAGGGAAGGACTGTTGTGCCAGCAGCAGAGGGACCTGCGCGAGTACACCCAGGCCACCATCTACATCCACAAAGTGGTGGACAATAAAAAGGTACAGGCTCTCCCCCACCCCTGCCCAGCTTGGCTCCAGCCGTGGCCCCAGGTGGCTGCACCTGCTGCTGGGGACGTGGTGACCCGTGGTGGTGGTGGTGAGGGCAGGAATCCCTCAGCTCTGCTCAGGGCAGTACTGCTGGCAGAAACAGCCAATGGGACATTCTGGCTCTAAAAATTTGGTCTCCTCAAGGCTTCCTGTTGCCAAAGCGAGTCCTGTGTATTATCAGGGATGTTCCCTGCTGTTTTTTCTGTCTTAACTCTGTTCCCAGGCTCTACCTGCTCTCCTCCCCCTCCAATATTTGTCATTTCCTTTCTTCTTGCTCAAGTGACATTTATCCCTGGATGCAAATAAGCTCTTTCCTTCCATGCTGGTGAGACAGTGAACTCAGAGTTGGTTTTCAGAATCTCCTGAAGCTGTGAATTACGTTTTTACTGATCTGAAGTGTCAGGATCAGCTCTAGAATTGGTTTTCCAGGTACCCAAAAGCTGGTTCTGGTAAATCTCCCTCCTCAGGGCTTTTAAGGAGGAAACCAGGGCTGGTGGCAGCTCGGATGAAGACATTCCCTGCAGCTGAGAGTGGGTTTTTTGGCCTTCCATCGATTCCCACCTCCCTGGCAATCCAAGGGAGGCGCTGGAGCTCGGAGCACTGCGGGGAGCTAGAGGCTGGCAGGGTTCCTGCCCTGGTTGTGAGACATGGAGCACGCAGAACAGTCTGGAGCCACAGCCAGGGCTCTCAGCCTGAATCCCGAGGCTGAATCAAGCTTGGCTCTGGTGCAGAAGAGGTTTGGTTGTTGTTTCTTTCTGGCACTGGACAGGACTGTGCTCACACGTGGGGCTGGCAAAATAACAGGGAGCTATTCTTTGTGGAGCAGCTGGAGCTAGAAAGAGGGGGCGAGAGCATGCTCATGAGATCCCTCAGTTCCAGGGCAGCTCGGCAGGATGGGAAGTAGCAG